AATCAGATGTTCCTGTTTGTTGGCTTGTGGGGACGACTGAAATCCTGTTGAACCTGGATTTCGCGGCCTTGCTTTTTCTATCTAAGACACCTCAATAGAATATTCTTCTTGGGGTCGATCACAGAGTTATTTCGCGTGTGTTCGTCGACGGGTGCCGGGACAATCGGTTTGGTGTTGGGGGTGAGGATGGTTAATTGGGCCTTGCTCTGCTTGTATTTTGCACTTTTAGACCCAGACCATTTTGTTGACAACTGCACACCTCCTCGTGTCAACTCGGTTGATCTAAGACCGCTATCTACAAGCTGGCCAACTCTACGTCTTCTATTCTCTTCATTCTGGGATACTTGGTGATTTCCACAGGCGCGGCCGCCACTTGCTGTGTGTGAATTTTATACCCCGGTCTCAGGATGTCCATATTTTCCAAATCTATTTTGGGCCCAGTGTCTAGTGCATTGCCGAATGGTTGGTTATCAACGTTTCTCGGAGGTGTGTTAATGGATCGCTTATGCTCACCGAATCTGGTGTGCAATTCCTTGACACATATAAACCTTCGTAAAGTCATTACATTTTTTTCTTGTACACACAGTTCCTAGTCCTATCAACCTGAAGTCAATCCTTCAACTGCACGGGATTAAACTATCTAGGGTGATACTTTTTCCAGAGAGAAATTCTTCTGGCGTATCCCAAATGTCTATAACCGTTTATGAGCGACAGAAGCTAGTGGAGGATATTATTGGTTTTGAAGGAAATGTTATTCTAATAAAAAGGGTAAAATCTGGCTAATTAGTTCATCTGTGGTAATACTTCAGACATTAGATTCCATCCAGGTCACTGTACACTTATTTGTGTTTCATATGTTCATTTCCATTCCCTCCTTCACCACACCTGGTTAGCACCTCCAGTTCCCGCTTTTTTGTCTTCCGAATGCGTGGTTGACGGGAATGCTCTTTTTGTCGTCTGGCATTCCCCACGCCTTTGTCCCAATCGAAATGAATCTGTTGCTCAGATACCTCAAGAAACACCGTCCCAGACTCGGTGTCCGTTTGCAGACGCCGTGGATACTTCACTGGGTGGATCCAGACCTTCTGGTTTGGCCCAGTTCTCATGCCGGCCAGGTTTGCACCCCATCAAACAAAATGGTCATCTGAATGCGACTCCTTTCCACCCCAATCGTCTGTCTCCCCAGCAGTTTCCTGTCTCGGTGTCGGCCTATCATCTTTCTGACAAGGCATTCGACGGTCCACTGTCAAACGGTGGCCACACAGCAGCCACTCCTTACGGTTCCCGCAAAACCTTGGCTCCGTTTGGCACCAGGCAGCCAGAAATGAACAGTTCCCAATCTATGAATGCCATTCATCCACCTTCGCAGGTAGTTGGTAACGTTCAAATAACTGCAGGACGACTTTCTCCTCGATCTCCGGGTGAATGTAATCCAATAACTTATTTCTTGGAGGTTGACAATGGACGCGGAGGTATATTTAAAGTAGGTTGGTCGGGACTACGTCATGTGCTTTGTAGAAAACTTTTTAGCCGTAACAAAGTGTCTTTTGCTATCCCCAGATATCACCCACTTGAGCTGATTGTAGTTAGTTGTCCTATTGTTGATGAACGAAACCAGTCAGTCAGGAAAGCCCCACTTGTGTCTCACTAAATCGATCTGCCGGCCGAA